TCTCTCCCAGCAGGGAAGGAGATTGCCCCTCATGCTGGGCTGAATTGAGAGCAGAACCCAAGAAGGGCTCGTGGGTCGTGTTTGTACCTTGTAGTGCCACCCTTCTCATCTGCTGCAGCAAAACAGACGTGGGTCTGATGGGACCCAAACAAGATTCCATCCCAGCATGAGCTTTCACGGAGCTGAAGAAATGGGCTCTAACCAGTGTTCCCTCCAGGCTGAGTTAGTGTGAGCTAGCTCACAGTTTTCTAGCCTCCGGCTCATAGGTTTTTGTCTCAGCTCAGGAAGGATGGGGCTCCAGAGCAAACCAGTTTATGCAGCGGCCAGATAGCCCGCTCACAACTTTAATGCCAGTCGCTCACAAAGGAGAATTTTTGCTTACAAGACTCCATAGTTTAGGGGGAGTGTTGGTTCTAACCCTTTGAAGTTCATGCTGGGGGGGGGGAAATCTTGTTAGCCTTTAAGATCTTGCTAGACTTCTGTTTCGTCTTGGAGGCGGTGCTCAAGTGCTCTGCTAGCAGGAAGACCACTCGATGTTTGAAATGGGAGACGTTCAAAACTAGACATGTTTTAACGCCCCCTCCTGCTGCCAGCTCAGGTTAAGGAAGAGTCTCCTGGCACTGTACAGGCGCTGGACTGGACGGAATGACCTCTACTGCACAAAACATTATGCGCAGGGGTCATTTCGTAGAAAAAGAGGTGCAGGAGCTCGTTAGCATAACTCATTAGCATAACTCATTTGCATATGCCACACCCCCTGACATCACTGGAAGTGTGTCAGAAGGCAACACCCACGGCTCAGGCTCCACTGGACTGGTTTGGAATTGGGGGGGGGGGACATGCAGATCTGTCCTCGCAGAGGAGGGAGAGCTTGTGCCTGAATAAAACTTGGTCTTAAAGATGCCACTGGACTGTTTTGGGCCAGGGGGCCAGGGGGAGCGCTGCAACTTACCTGGCTGCTTCTTGCTCTGACTGAGGGCTGCTGGGAGCAGGAGGTGGGGCTTGTTGCATGTGCCCGCCCCCTGGGCTCTTTACTGCCGGAGCTCCGCTCCTGTGCGCTCCTGCAGGAAATGACCTGATTATGCGGAGGAAGACCCTCTTGAGCTTTGAAGGTGCCGCTAGAATCGTGTGGGGTTCTGGAGGAGGAGCTCAAGACCATTGGCCTGTGGAGGTCAGCACTGTCTGCTCGGACTGGCAGTGGCTCTCCAGGGTCTCAGGGGTAGGGTCTAACCCGATTCTTTTACTGGAGACGAGGGAGAATGAACCTGGGATCTTCTGCATGTACGGCAGAAGCTCTGCCACTGAGCCACAGCGCTCTCCCAGCTGCCTGGACCTGGGGCCAGACTCAGTCAGGACCACCCCATTTCTTTGGTGTGTTCCTGAGGGATAACCTCTGCTGCCGCCTCCCTTTGTGGTCTGGGATGCCCTTTCCTGGCCCCCTCCCAGGCTGCAAGCCAAGAGCCACTCTGAGCAGCGGATTGGGGAATTGCTCGGTGTGAAGGGGTTTTTCTTTTGTGGGGTGTGTGTGTGCGCTTGGGGCAGCCAAGGGATTTTTCTGACTGGGGCTGGCTTGGGTTCCATTCCGTTCTGCTCCATTTTGTTGACGGCCACAAGGGAGACACCCTCGTACTGGTCCCCTCCCAATTGGAGGCACTCTGGCAGGAGCCGGGGACCTCCTCTGCGAAGTCTGAAGCGGGAGACACTTTGGCCAGGCAATGTTGGGTGGTTTATTGCCCTCGCAGTGGGACACGCGCACACGGTGGGTGTTTGTGGGGTCACCAGATGAACAGCGGCTTCCCATCCTCCTGAGACAGGAGATGGAGGCAATTGAGGAGCAGCATGCAGTCGGCTTGCTGATCCGCAGGAACGACGTTCTCGACAACATTGCGCATGAAGTTGATGTCGTTGTAGACGTCTCCCTCGGCGCCAGTCGTATCTGGCCGCACCCGGAGGATACCGTAAGTGTTCACTATGTTTTCCGTGAATCTGGGGTGGACATTTGGGTCGTAGCCCAGGGAGTGCAGCCGGTCCATGATTCTCTGGTGCCGCTCCGTGAGGCTCGTGCGCTGCTCTTCGGTCAGTCCGGACTGGGTGTCACTTCCTCTCTGTGGGGAGAAGAGCAGTGTTAGGCCCAAGAGGTGTGTGCGGGGGGGGGGGACCCACTAAGAGACCCACCACCTTCATTCCATCTTCATTGCAGCCTGAGTTGCACAGGAATCTTAGGGTCAGTTCACACAGCCCACTGAATTAGGATCTGCGATAGCTGCGGTAGCTCAAGTGGTTAAGACGTTGAGCTGCAGACCGGAAGGTCGGTAGTTCAGCAGTTCGAGACCCGAGTGCTGCATGACGGAATCACAGCGCCTGTCAGCCTAGCAGTTCCAAAGCAAGAAATTGCAAGTAGATAAATAGGTACTGCTTTGGCAGGAAGGTAACAGCGTTCCATGCACCTTGCCGTCTAGTCAGGCCGGCCACATGACCACAAAAACGTCTTTGGACAGCGGTGGCTCTTCAGCTTTGAAAGAGAGATGAGCACCTCCCCCTAAGGTCAGATTCAGCTGGCTTTTGAGCAAGGGAAGCCTATAGCTTCTTCAAGACTAACCAGTTCTGGATTCAAGTGGCGCTGACAAGTGTGACTGCCACCCAAGACCCAGCCCAGCATTCTCATGTGGCCATAATCTGTGAGAGGATGTTCAGACCTACGATATTCACCCACCCACCCCTATCCTAGGGATATTTAGGGTTAGGGATGCATTTTACTGTAGCGTTGGTGTGTATGGCAACTGGGAATGTGCACTGCAGTTTGTTTCATTGTTTCCATTTTTGTTTTTAATTCCAAAGGGTCTGTTTCATTTTTATGGGTTTTTATTGGTACGGTTTTGTTTCTTTTTGTTGTTGTTATCGTTTCATTTTCCCGATTCTGCTTTGTTGCTATTCTCCACTGGTTTCCACAGAAGTCCCACCCACCCCTTTCCTTGGGTGTTTGTACCTTCATGGTTTCCCATAGAAATTGGACAAAATTCTGAGGGAATGTAGTATGCCCAGGGGTCATTTCGTAGAAAAAGAGATGCAGGAGCTCATTAGCATACCTTATTAGCATAATTTATTTGCAAATGCCACACCCCCTGACATCACCGGAAGTGTGTCGGAAGGCAACACCCACCGCTCAAGCTCCACCGGACTGTTTTGGATTGCTAGCTATTGGGGGGGGGGGGGCGGCACGGTT